TATTGGTGGTGGTATTGTGTGTGTTTCCCTTTTTTATGTTTTGCTGGTGTGGGATTATCTATTGCCTGGGTTTTTGCAGATGTAGTTAACTTTCTTGGATTGGAGTTTTCCTTCTAGAATTTTATGTAGGGCTGGATTTATTGATAAATATTGTTTAAATCTTGCTTTTTCATGGAATATCTTGTTTTCTCCATCTATGGTGATTGAATGCTTTTCTGATTATAGTAGTTTGGGTTGGCATCTGTGGTCTCTTTGTGTCTGCAAAACATCTATCTACTTCTATTGAGATGTCAGATATAATTCTGATAAGTTTGTCTTTATGTTACTTGGCCTTTTACCTTTGCAGCTCTTAATATTCTTTTTTCATTCTGTTTGTTTAGTGCTTTGATTATTATGTGGTGAGTGAACTTTTTTTTTTTTTTGGTCCAGTCTATTTGGTGTTCTGGAAGCTTTTTGTACCTTCATAGCATGTCCTTTTTTAAGTTGGGAAAGTTTTCTTCTGTGATTTTGTTGAGTATATTTTCTGTGCCTTTTAGCTGATCATCTCCTTCTATCCCTATTAATCTTAGGTTTGGTCTTTTCATGATGTCCCAGATTTTCTGGATATTTTGTGTTAATAATTTGTTGGATTTAATGTTTTCTTTGACTGGCAAATCTATTTCCTCTAATGTATCTTCAATGTCCGAGTCTCTCTCTTCCATCTCTTCTATTCTGTTGGTTATGTTTGCATCTGTAGTTCCTGCTCATTTACCCAGATATTCATTTCCAGAATTCCCTCTACTTCAGTTTTCAAGTCTTGAACCATTCATTCACCTGTTTTATTGTTTTATACTTAGCTTTCTTTAAGGGATTTGTTGATTTCTTCCAATTTTTTGTTTGTCTTTTCTCCCAGTTCTTTAATGGAATTTTCTCATTTCTTCTTTAAGGGCCTCTATCATCTTCTTAAAGTTATTTTTAAGGTCATTTTATTCTGCTTCATCTGCGTTGGGATGCTCAGGTCTTGCTGATGTAGAACCACTAGTTCCTGCTGGTGCCATATTGCTCTTTGTGTTGTTGAATGTGTTCTTACACTGTCGGCTGCCAATCTCTTTTTCCAATGGGTGCAGGTGGGGCCTGCGCTTCAAGGGTCCCTCTTCTTCCAACTGGTGCAGAGGGGGGCTGTGGGCGAGGTGGTTGCTCTTCTGCCAGGTGCAGGTGGGGCCATGCCTCTGGTGGTCTCTGATGTGACTCTGTGGCTTCTCAGGTGCAGATGCGACCAAGGCTATGGTGGTTGCTCTCCCAGGTGTAGGCGAGGCCACGGTTCTGGTGGTGTCTTCTCCAGGTGTAGGTGGGGCCAAGGCTCTGATGGTTGTAGATGCAGTGGGGGATGTTTGCCGGCATGAGGAGGTTGCTGCCAGGTCTCTGGGACTTGAGTGTATGGCAGTGGGGAGCAGGATGTGCCTCTGGGGGCTACGGCCTAGAGAGCAGAGCCCTCCAGCAGGAAACCCAGAGACTTACCTCTCCAGGTGCAGTCAGGGTCCAGACCTTATAACTTTTTTATCATCATATAAAACTCCATACAATCCAAAATATTTTGGAGACCCACTGTTGTCCTTATTCAAAAAAGGATATACAATAATAAGCAGAGGGCTTGGTAGGACTAAGAAATTATATAGCTGCTTTCACCATGTGGTCATGCTAAGATGGCAAAGACACATGGTATGTACCCCTTAACCTTAGTAAAGATGGTTACCAACCATGTGATTGATATCTAAAATAATTATAATATAGATTTGTTTTTCTATTTTTAAACAAGAATTGAATCTAAGTTACATATATAGTATATTCTTAACAAGAGCTGAATCATGTTGTAGCAAATTAAGATTACCTGTGTATAGATCTCTCTCTCTCTCTCTCTCTCTCTCTCTCTCTCTCTCTCTCTCT